AGAAGTCAGCTACATGGCTACAATAAATTGCAAGGAAGGCTAATTATAGACATAGGTTAATAATCTATTAATATAGAAGAAATGGAAAACGCTTTGAAATTCTGAAATTTTTAAGATCTACTTTAAAATCCTCTAGATAACATCACAAAGACTATTGGGAGAAAAGATGACTTTCAGAATAGAAATCAAATGGCATAAAGGACATGAGATTCTAGTTGTATCTGGAGAATTAATCATGGTGTATTTAGCCTGAGGTTCAATTTTTTCTATGACAGGCTAAATTCTCCAGTTTATATTGTTACTTTTATTTCCAATTAAATTAATTCTATTTTGTTTCCAAATCCTCGTGTGTATATATAGTATTGCAAAACCTCAGTATGGGAAAGCAAGCATATATTAGGGAAATCTCTACTGAATTATCTGGAGAGTTTAAATGAGTGTTTTCTTTTTCCGTACTTATTTTTAAAAATATTTAGTGCCTATGAAAAACCTTTGGACACATATAAATATTTGATCCCTTGGGAATAGTGTTCTTGCATCTCATATCCTACTGAGACTTCATCATAATCATTAGATGTTCCCCTTCGGAGTTCAAAAAGCATAAACACCCCATGAGATTAGTGCCAGTTAATTTATATAGCACTGCAAATAACCCTTAGAAAAATATTTATTACATGAATAAGTAAATGGTAGTAATGGGAATATTTAATACAGGAGTCTAAAATCTGAAAAAAGAACAACAAAATGTTTACGAAGTTACCATTTATGCAAAGAAAAACAGGCATAGATTGCAGTTAGCCTGAGATCCTCCAGGGAGGATGGAATGCCCGTGTGCTCTCTACAGCTGGATGACGAAGCAGCGCAATGTGGAAGCAGAGGAGTTAAATTTTGTCGAAAAAAATCTGTGCATATTACATCTTCTTAAAAATGGTATTTGAGTTTTTAAGTGTTTTTGGCAAACTGTTTTAGGACTCAAAATATGAAAAGAATTGGCATATCTAAAATTTAAAGACCATTTCCTGCAAGATATATTTTAGCGCATTTTTTCTAATTTCAGCATTATACATTTAATATTATCTTTTTTCACCCTTTAAATTTTGATTTAGGGAAAATGGTAGAGAACACAAATAGAATGCAATCATAATTTAGTATTAAAAACTCTTCCTTTTAATTTATCTGATAGTCACAAAAACTAATACAACTAAGCGTATTGCATTCACAGGCCTGCCTTCTAATGGTTTGCTAATGTGACCTTTCTTAATTTTTTACATTCTGTTTTGGTAAGAGTTGGTGTATTTGACATGGAACAGTTCTAATTAGGTATATTAGATATGTGCATTCCTGCAATATTGCCATGTAAATGAGGGAAGATATATAATAATTGCTTCAGTTATGTGAATGTAAAAGAAGTGTGAATGTAAAGGGAAAAATGTTAGTCATCTCTTTTCACCCAAACTGCATACACGATTAACATAACTTTGAGAGAAGGTCTCATTTTTTGTATCTTAGTATCCTCCTATAAACTCCTCTAGATATTACAGGAAAAAACTTTTATTTTATTTTATATGTTTATTTTAATTTATGTATGTGCCTTTTCAAAAATAATGCATGCTTTAGAGGTTGGAAACAATTACCTTGATATTATCAAGACAGAAAACATTGTGTTATCTAGGGTCCACCACTAAAATTTAAACTTTTTGTGTGTTTGATGATGAAGAAGATAATTTTCTTTAGGGATACTATTAATTTTTTTAAAGAAATACACTAATATCTGTCCTATAATTATTTACCAAAAAAAGTTTTTGAAAGGACAACTTTGGAAAACACACTCTTTCAAACTATTCCTGAATTTCCATTTACTACCTGTGCAGAACTAAACAACATAACTGTCTTAATATATGCCTGATGTTCAGAATAGTTTTCTATTATTAACATTTTCTTAATTATGTGTTAGCTGGACATTTAAATATACTATCTTAGGGAAAAGTATGCCTCCTGAAATTCATGTCACCACGATTCTGAGATTCACTATGTGTTTAATAATTACCAAAACTCATTCCTCATCTCTTCTATGCCATGCTGATCTCAACATTATTCATCATTACAGTCTTTGCTTAATAAAAATAATAAGATAAAATAATCAAAAAGAAAAGAAGTACATGCAGAGAAATATGATTGGTAAATTTTTGTTTGTATAATTTTTTTTACAAATATTAACTTACTAAATGACATATATATTGCTAATTTCTGTCTTTTTAATTTTTCAAAATTTTACTTGGTTATTAACTTATTTTTAATATTCTTTAGAATTTTTCACCAAACTCACTCTCCTATCTCTAAAAAACCTTTCTTACCTCTCTAGGTTTCTGTAAGCTTTGTTTTGATCTTTCTTTTCTTTGACCTCTCATACTTGATACAATGTCCTGAATACATATTTTTATATTTCTATCTGCTTTTATACTTTTCCCCTCATTCTTCAGTTGATTTTCACAGATCTATGCTCAAATGCACAACATGCGTAGGAAAATGGAAATTAGCATTGTGGCTACTGATTTTCTCACGGTGCAAGGTAGGTAGGGTAGTGATCATAACAGACGTTCAGGAAACATGTTTGTGTGTGTGTGAGAGACAGAGAGAAATGCAACATGGGCTGAAACACTAATAATAACACGTACTGACTTGCTCCTCATATGCAAACTTCTTATATTAAACAGAAATAGCATACATCCTAAAGTCTTGCATAAGTCTGAGAGAGAAAAAACTTTCATTCTAGGTTTTGAATAGTCCCTCTAACCTGTTTATAAATTATTCACATAAAAACAATGAACAGTTGCTGTCATCATTTAGGTTATCCTTTAGTAGATTTGCAAACTAAAGATTGAACTCTCTGTCCAGATACCCTGGAAGGCAAACTACTGTTCTTCCTGCCGTGACCATCTTTGGAACGTGAATGAGCCTTGTGTCGCTCCAGCTGAAACATGACCTTCACCACTAGTTACCACTGTTTCTTGCTCATTGGAAACCTCATTTTCTTTTTCTTCTTTTTCCATTTAGACCTGGCCAAGTAGAGGACAGTAATGGGGAACCACACGAGAGTGACAGTGTTCATCCTAGCGGGTCTGACTGATGATCCACAGCTGGAGGCGGTGTTGTTTACCTTCCTGCTGCTCACCTACCTGCTCAGCATCACCGGCAATCTGATCATCATCACACTCACCCTGCTGGATCCTCACCTCAAGACCCCCATGTACTTCTTCCTTCGGAATTTTTCTTTCCTAGAAATTTCCTATACCACTACATGCATCCCCAAATTGCTGGTGATGATGGCAACCGGGGACAAAACCATATCCTATAACAATTGTGTTGCTCAGGTGTTTTTTGCCTTCCTTCTCGGAGCATCTGAATTTTACCTGCTGGCAGCCATGTCCTATGACCGCTACGTTGCCATCTGTAAGCCCCTGCGTTACACAGCCATCGTGAGCACTAAAATCTGCACACAGCTTGTCTCCTGTTGTTGGCTTGCTGGGTTCTTTACCATCTTTATACCTCTCCTCTTGGGCCTAAACCTTGATTTCTGTGACTCCAACATTGTTGATCATTTCTACTGTGACACAACTCCCCTCCTGCAGATCTCCTGCTCAGACACAAAGCTCATCGAGACGATGGGATTCATTTCTGCTGTGATGACGCTCGTGGTCACCTTGGCAATGGTGATAACATCATATACGTATATTGCGATAACAATTCTAAAAATCCCTTCAGCTAATCAGAGGAAAAAAGCGTTTTCAACTTGTTCTTCTCACATGATTGTGATCTCCCTTTCTTATGGCAGCTGCATCTTCATGTATGTTAAACCATCAGTGAAAGAAAGAGTATCTTTTTCCAAGGGAATTTCGGTTCTCAATACCTCTGTTGCACCACTTTTGAACCCTTTCATCTACACCTTACGGAACCAACAGGTAAAAAAATCCTTCATGAATATGGTTCACAGGGTTGTTTCTCTCCCAAACAAATGACTATCCTTTTGCAGCACATTTAAAGAAACAAACAAAAGGACCCTGGCAATACCAGTGTATCCAATCGTTTCCTCCTTTATTTTGATTTCCTTCCTTTGATGTTTATCTTTATCTCATTTCAAGCTTTATTTTCAAAAAGCTTGGTCTCCAAGAAGTTTGTTTTCTTTATAAACTTCATTATAGATGATTTCCACTTTACATCATTTCCTGTTGATATCTGGAAACACTGAGCTAAGTTCTTCAATTTCTCACTTTTATAATTGAAATCTAGTTAGTCTAGAATATAAATATATTTAATTAAAATATATTGAATGCAGCATGCAATGTAAACTTTTTATCATTCTTTATTTGCACTTAATTACAACTTACTTAAAACTAATATTCATTTATATTTTTTTGTAATACTACCACTTTTTGTGTTAACTCTACTTAATAAAAATTAAATTGTGTGTGGGTTAGCAATTAGTGTTGATGTTCAAGTTATAAAGTGTCTATTAAAATTAAGATAGTTGTTTTGAAGTACATTCCATAGAATCTAGATTTCTGTTTTCTGTTAGTACATTGTTAACATTTAGAAGTATTTCACCTGTAGATTAAAAATTGTGTTTTCTTACTGGTTTATTTTAAAAATTAATAATGACATACAATACTTATTAGGTGTTGCCATACTCAAAAAGCACTCTTTAATACCTTGAATACTTCTGAAGCTACCTGGAAACTGCTTGTAAATGATTGTTAAATAAGGAAAACAATGTTAATTCAATGTATTTATTCTTTCCATTTGTATCTAATATACATATATAACTATACTTCCTACCAGTGAAACCAAAATAGTAGGGTAAACTAAACCTTTTCTTTAGGATGTTTTAATTCTTGCCATAGTCTGGAAATTCAGGGATTCAATTTCCGTGTCATGACCAGAATTTTAAAATATTACATATAATAAAATAATTTTTCATTGGAACACTATGTTACGTGATATTTTTGCAGAAATGTCTGTGAATTAGGCTTCAATTTAATTTCCATATCCTTTTTATTTTAAGTTTATCCCTGATTTGAAGAAAATATGTTTGGAAAATGCCACCTAGAAGAGCAAAATAGAACATAGCCAGGAAGAACAGTCGATATAGCCTGTGATGGACTGGAAAGTTTTGTAGGTTTTTGTATAATCTGTTAATGAGCTAGATCTTAAAAGGATATTTGAGTCATAAATATGATTTCAGGAATAATGGTTATTGAAACAATTGATTACATTATCCCTTGATCATTTATATACATACATTTTCCATTTTGAGGAAAATGTTCCAATGTTCCTGGTGCAGTATCTAACTTTAAAAAATTTTAAGAGCATTGAAAATGAAAAAAATGCATGTAACATAATGAGGCAATCTAAGAAAACCAAAACCTGAAACTCTCTCAATATTCTTTTAGTTTGGATTCTGTGTCATCCTGAAGGAATTTGTTTAAAAAAGACTGAATAAGTTAAATGAACTTTTGGTCACTGTATTTTCTGAAATGTTTTATTTATATACTTTTAAATGTCATCTACTAGTTTTTCAGCATAGAGGATTTCTGTAACTCGTTATAAAGACTGAGCACTTTCTAAACTAAGACTTCCCCATCCTCACTGCTTCCTGCTTGCAGGCAGGTTAAAATTACATCACCTGCCTTCTCTTTATTTCAGTCAGTCTGTGACATTATCACCTCACGTTATGTCTAATGGAAACCACTGTCATTGGCCTCTGAATTCTGAATTCCCAGTTAGCTTAGTAATGCTGTATTTTTTCAATTTGGTCTTGAAAAAGTAGCACAACTTTTTAAATAGAAGTACAACTTTTTCTTAGGGAACATCCACCAGAAAGCCTGAAATACCCTGAAAGGCTTTCAACTCTCCTTTCTATTGAGGAAAGCTGAACAATCACTACAATACAGAAATAACATAGCTTATGCATAACAGATACAGAAATTCTAAAGGAACATATCAACAAGTCAATCCAATAATACATAAAAAGGATAGAATACCATGACAAAGTGGGGTTTGTTTTGTCCATTTAACATTAGCAAGCATATCAGTGTAATTTTAAAATAATAATGTATGTGCCTACCAGCAGAGTGCCAAATAATGTGAGGAAGAAATAACAGAATTGCAAAGAGAAAAAATGAATATACTATCGTAGTTGAAAGTTCAAGGTATGTCCAAAATGGACAGACATAACAATCATAAAATCAGAGAAGACATAGCTGAATTTAACAATCAACATCAATTGAGACATCAGTAGAATACATCAACCAACAATACCAATGTACATATTCTTCTCAAGATCACCAACCTAGAACATGTTCTAGGCCGTAAAACACACTTAAAAATTTTTGAAGAATATAAATCATTCAAAATGTTATTAAACTAGGAATCAATGAATATAAACTGAAAAATCCTAAATTATGTAGAGATTTAAATAACACATCAAAAAATAAATCTCAAGAGAATTTTAAAATTTTTGAAATGAGTGAAATGAAAGAACTTATTAAAATTTGTGGGATACAGTGGACGCAGTGCCTAGAAGGAAATTTATAGCTTTGACTGCATCTATTAGAAAAAAAGAAATATCTATAGTTAATCATCTAAGTTTCTAGCATAGGACATAGACATTAAATAATAGTTAATTATGAATGTTTCTATGACCACAAATTTAACAACCTAGATGAGTCCTTAGAAGCAATATTTTGTCAAAACTCACACAAGAGAAAATAATATGCATGGGACTATATCTATTAATAATTCAATTAATGTTTAATAACCTTCCAAAACAGAGAGCAGCTTCCCTAGATACCCAACCAGGAGAATTCTTCCAAACACCCCAAGCTTCAGGTGGTGATCTTTGTCTTCCTGTCCATCACCTACATGAGCATCACTTGGGATGATGGGAAAGTGACCGTTATCACCCTCTCCCAGATGGACTCCCACCTCCACACCCCCAAGTACTTCTTCCTCAGAAATTTCTCATTAGTAGAGGCTTCATTCACAACTGTCGGTAGATTCAGTGATTGCATTGATCAACTTTTTTTCTTTTTTCTTTTCTTCAGAGTCATTGAATTTTACCTTCCGGCTGCCATGTTCTCTGACCATTATATTGCCATCTGCAAACCCTGCACTACAGGACCAGCATGAACTGTAGACCCTGCACACTCCTTGTCTTCTCTTCATGGCTACTCTCATTCTTAATCATATTCCCTGCACTCATGTTGCTCTTGAACCTTGTTACTGTACTCAGCTCATGTAGGTCTAATATTATTGACCATTTTATCTGTGATTATTTCCCCTGCTGCAACTTTCCTGTTCAGACACAAAATTCCTAGAGACAACGGGATTTTCCTGTGCTGTGTTTACTGTCGTATTCACTTTGGCATTGATAATTCTGCCCTACATGTATATCATCAGAACAATTTTGAGGATTCCTTCTACTAGTCAGAGGACAAAGGCCTTTTCCAAGTGTTCATCCTACATGATTGTCATCTCCATCTCTAATGTCAGCTGCATAGTTATATATATTAAACAATCAGCAAAAGACAGAGTGTCTCTGAGCAAGGGAGTTGCTCATTCTTTTGCATGTGGATATCCAGTTTTCCCATACCATTTGTTGACGTCGTGGCACCCTTGTTATTGTGTGTTATTGGTACCTCTGTCGAGGATCAGTTGACTGTATATACGTGAGTTTATACTTGAGTTTAAAGACCTTGGCAGCCCCCATCAGCATGGACCCCTTCATTTATAGCCTGAGAAATCATCAGCACATCAAGAGAGCATTCATGGACATGGCATGGAAGACTGTTTTTCACAAGCAGTTGAAATGATGCAGTGTAATAACTTAGGGACACATTGCAGAGCAATTCAAAAAACACAGTCATGACATTTCAGGAGCATTTTCAAATCACAGTGGCCTCCTTTTCATCTTGTTCATTCACTTAGTTATTTTCTAACAGTTCACTGGCACATTTGTTTAATGTAGTTCTCATTCAATTTAAATAACTTCTTGTACATCTTTCAGACATTCATTTTGTGAGTCTTGTTATTTGCAACTTCTTAATATTTGAAAAAGTAAAATTGTATTTTGAGGTTTCTTTAGAGAAAAAAATTATCATCGGGAATGGAGGAGACACCACAAATTTTGATATCAAATTTTACTTTATACAGGAAATAAAAATTTTGTGATTGTGATTTGTGTTTGAAGTGAATTCTCTTCACCATCTTTCAGTTTCTCTAGGAAAAATCATTAGTTTAGAACTCCCCAGTCTTTTCCTCCCCCAGCGCCTGGCAACTGCCGTTCCACTATCTGATTCTATGTGTTTGATTGTTTTAGATATTTCATATAAGTGAATTCGTACAGTTTTTATCCTTTTATGTATGCCAATTTATTTACTGTAAAGGATTATTCATGTTATGTATGATAGGATTTCCTTCTTTTTTAAGGCTGAATAGTATCATTTTGTATGCATTTACCACATTTTCTGTATCCATCCTTCCATGGACATTTAGGTTGCTTCCGTATCTTGACACTTGTGAATACTGCATCAGGGGATAATATGGGAATATTAATGCCTCTCTGAGATCTTGCTTCCAAACATTTTAAATACATAGCTGGCAATAGGATTGATAGATAATGTGTTAGTGCTATTTTTACTTTTCTAAGAAACTTCATATTACTTTCCACCGAGAATACTCAGTTTTCCATTCCTACCAACACCATACAAGGATTCTAATATCTCCACATCCTTGCCAGCACTTAGTGTCTTTTGTTTTCTTGATAATAGCCATCCTAACAGATGTGAGGTGACATATCACTGTGGCTTTGATTTGAATTTCCCTGATGATTAGTGACATTGAGCATCTATCATATACCTATTGGATATTTATTTCCTTATATTTGAATATCTTTGAAAAAAATGTCCACTCAAATCTTTAGTCCATTTAATTAGGTTACCAGGGTTTCTGTTTGTTTTCCATTGACTTGTAGGTATTCTTACATATTTTGAACATTAACCCTTACCAAATACAGTTTGTAAATATTTTCTTCCCTCTATAGATTTTCTTTTCACTCTGTTGATTGTTGATTGTTTCCTTTGCTGTGAAAGCTTTTTAGTATGATGTATTTCTACTTTTCTATTTTTGGTTTTTTGCTTATGTGTTTGTGTGTCATGTCAGTTAAATCATTGCAAAGTCCAATGTCAGGAGGCTTTCCCCTTATCTTTTCTTCTTAGAAGTTTTAAAGCTTTATGTCTTATATTTAAATCTTTAATCCATTTTGAATTGATTTTTGTGTGTGGAATAAGAGTACAATATCATTCTTTTGCATGTGGATATCCAGTCTTCCCATACCATTTGTTGACGTTTTGGTCTCCTTGTTATTGTGTGTTATTGGTACCCTTGTCAAGGATCAGTTGACTGTATATACATGAGTTTATTATGGGCACCATCAGCATATATACATCTATCTTTATGCCAGTACCATAGTGTTTTGAATTACTCTAGCTTTGTAATACATTTTGAAACCTGGAAGCCAGCTTTGTTCTTTTTTTTTAAGATTCATTTATCTATTCATGGCCTTTTGTGGTTCCATATGAAATTTAGAATTTCTTTTCTATTTCTGTAAATAATGCCATTGGTATTTTGACAGACATTACACTGAATCTATAGATCTCATTAGTTAGCATGGACAACAGTATGCTTCCAAACCATGAATTCTAGATGGCTTTCCATTTGTTTGTGTCATCTTTCATTTCTTTGATCAAAGTTTTATATTTTTCAATGCACAAATCTTTTATATCATTAGTTAAGCTTACCTTTCAGTATTTTATTCTTTTTGGTGCCATTGTAACTGACATTTTAAATTTCATCTTCAGATAGTTTGTTAATAGTATACAGAAATGCAACTGATTTTTTTATTTGATTTTTTTATCCTGAAAATTTACTAAAGTCATTTATTAGCTTTCATAATTTTTCTTAAGGATATTTTAGGGTTTTTCCTATATAGTAAGATCACGTCCTCCTCAAATAGGCATGCCATTTATTTATTTAGCCTAATTATTCTGGCTGGGACTTTCAATAATACGTTGAATGCAAATAAGAGAATAATCCCTGCTTGTTCCTAATCTTAGAAGAAAGGGTTTCAGTTTTTCACCATTAAGTATAATGTTAGCTGTGGTTTCTCATATATGCTTTTTATTTTATGGAGGTAATCTCCTTCTATTGCTAGTTTGGTGAGAGCATTTATCATGAACATTTGTTGAACTTTGCCACATGCTTTTTCTGCATGAGATAATGTGATTTTTATCCCTTATTTTGTTAATGTAGTGTCTCACATTGATTTTCATATGATTTTCAACAAACCTCATATCCCAGGGATAAATCACACTTGGTCATGGTATATGACTCTCTTAATATGCGTTTGAGTTTGTAGAGATGTTTATATCTATATGCATCAGAGATTTGGGCTGGGAATTTTATTTCCTTACATTGTCTTTGTCTGATTTTGATATCAGGATAATGCAGGCCCCAGTAAAGCCATCTGGTCCCGAGAATTCCTTTATTGGGAGATCTTTTTAATATTGAATAAATATCAATACTGGTTATACTGGTGCTGCTCCTGCTTTTTAATTCTTCATGATTTAGTTTTGGTAGATTGTATATTTAGGAATTTATTAATTTCTTCTTGGACATCCAGTTTGTTGGTTTATAATTTTTCATAGTAGTTTCTTTTGAGCCTTTTTACAATTTCTGTTGATCTATTGTAACGGCTGTTTTATTTCTGATTTTATTGATTTGGGTCATCTCTGTTTTATCTTGGTTTAATAAGTCATAGTCAGTTGTTTTCTCTCTACGAAAAACAAACCTTAGTTTTGTCAGTTTTTTCTATTGTTTTTCTGTTTGCTATTTCATTTATTTCTGCTCTAACTTCTGCTGTTTCTTTCTTCTAATGATGGGCTTGGTTTGTTCTTTTTCTATCTCTTAGAGGTGCAAAATTAGTGGGGTTTCTGTGAGATACTTCTGAATTTTCCCCTTATTGCTTTTGCAACACCCCATAAGCTTTGGTATGTTGTATGTACATGAAAGTAAATGTTTAAAGTCTATTTTGACAAATAAATGTCAATGAGTAAAAGAAAAAAGATACAGGAAAACTATAATCTAAACCAATTTATTAACCAATCATAATATATGGATATTAATGGGATTCTAACTCTAACCATATTTTAAAAAATTTAAAGTACCCTGATGTTTATGAAACAGTTAGGAATTTACCACTTACATGTCAAGATATTTGTAATATAAAGAAAATATTGCTTTTGTCAAGTGCAATGAAGTGGTTGTTGCTATTTTAAGTCTTTAAATTAAAGAAATTCTGAAATATTTACATATAAAATTATCAATCTCTGGAATTTTCTATAAAATAATATTGTGGGTAGAATATTCATTGGGCATATATTTAAAGAAATATTGACCACAAATCATTAATTGTCAAATTTGATGACATAGTAGGTATACATCCATAATACTGTTCCAGACTATTTATTTTATTCTTAAGAATTCATCATATAGTTTTAATTTATTTAATTTAAGAAGTAAATTAAGTACCAAGATTAGTGAAAAATTGAGAATAAAGATAGTGACACATTTTCAGCATTCTCAAAATACTACTATCTTCTTATTGTGAGTGAAGGATATGCACAGTTTGAAAATGAAGAAAAAATACTATGGACAAAATAATTATCCACAACTCCATACCCATGAGTTGTCTTAAGGTGATATTTTAAAATATTTATCGCTGGTTATTTTAGGAAATGAATTTAATTTTTTTTGCATTATAATTTTTAATACATTCCAGAGAATTTATGTAACTAATATGTAAGCATAATGAATAATAACAAAAAATAAGTGACATTCCCACATACCCAGGAAAATTTTTCTTTTCTAATATTGACAAAACCAAGACTAGAATGCATCTATAAAAATGGATGTGAAAAACCTTTATGTAAAGGATTATAGAAACACAACTAAAAACCAAAACTGAAAAACTCAAAGAGCATTTAAATACACAGGCAGGTGTCAATTTTAGATGCTGAGGAATTTCTTATCTTGAACTTCTCTTTCTAAACTTTCACTTACAGTTGTACATATTCCTGGATGTCTGGGGGCAATTATCACCAGAGATAAAATAATTTCCTATGACTGTGCAGCCCAACTATTTTTCTTTATTTTCTGTATACTCATGTGTGCAAATCCCTTTGCAAAAAAAATCATTATTGACCAAAGGAGTAACTATTCTCAGTATGTCTGTTGCCCCATGCTGATTCCCTTAACATAGTCCCTTTGAAACCAGTTAAGTACACACTTTCAAAGATTTTGACTTTAAAGTACTGTTTTATACAAAAAAATCAATGTATTTATTAATATGAATGAATACCATCAAGAAGATTCAATAAAGAAATACTGAAATTTTAACCTTTTGATTTATTGTCTTCTTAAATCCATGTCACAGCTGCAGGAAATCCTGAGCTCCTTTGCTAAACACTCTTTTAACTTGGGAGTGGCTGTGTTTGTGTCTTCTTTTAAAACTGTCTGTAGTTTCTATGTAATCATTAATCTATAATTCTGATTGTAAAACCAGGGTCCATGGAATAGCCAATGTGATAGCCTGATTTGAAAAAACAGAACAGAATAAAAACTTGTGTTTTCTCTATACATATTTGAAATTCTATTGAGACCTGCAAATTTTGCATAGCCTTTGCTAAGAACCTGTGCAATATTATTGGCTTTTTTCACCCACATTATTTAAGTTGTGCATAATGATATTTTTATAATGTAGACAAGGAAGGCTCTCTTAATATTATACTTGGCATATAAACTATGTTAACCAATCAAAGCAAGAAACTCTTCAGTTCTGTTGTTGGTGAGCAATAGAGCAAGCAAGAAAACTAAAAATAGTGGAGTTACCGAATGAACTTCTCAGGAGAAAAAGGATCTTCATTCTTCTGTTCTTCTGTAGTGAGTGAAAACTGAAGGCACAGAGCATGTTCAGGAGGGACCTGTAGATAGAGCTCTTTTTCTTTGGGTGAGAAAATTGGGGAGGCATTTAACTTACAAAGCAAGTCTTGTCCTAAGAGAGGAATGGGAAAATCAGGCATATACAGAAAGTGGTGCCTTAACTGTTTTCCCAGTTGGCACTCCAGAGTTTGTAGTAATGGTCTCATTCAAGGTCGCTCAGTCACCCCTACCATGGTTGCTGACTCTCTGCTGACAAGGCTAATTTTGGATTAGAACCTGAATAGGTGGCTCCCATATCTATGAGATCCAGGAGAGAGCAAGTAAACCTGTGTGGGCAGATAGGATCCCTGGTGAGCTTTAAGCTCAATATCTATAGAGATACATTTGAAAGAAGGGGCTGGATGTCCCCTAAAAAAGGAACAGCCTCTAAAGAAGGAGGCTTTGGAGGGAATTTAACCTATCTTGGCCAAATTTTTTAGCCTCATCTGATTCAACCATGCCTGTCTCCTTACAATACTCCAATTCTTCCTGTAAAAAACCCTCATACTGATTAATACAGGTTTGTACAAGACTTGAGTACCGTTATTGATATTGTACAAAATATTCATCCCACTGTACTAAACCGAGATACCTTCCTGATACAGTCCTGGGGGATTACAGGTGGTCCTGGGGGATTATAGGTGGTCCTCGGTGTTGGAATTAAAGGATGC